TTGTTTCTGCTGAAAACGTGACCCCGCCGCGCCATCATTCGTCCGCACACTTCGTCATCGATGAAACGCATGGATTTTGAACGGATTTAGAGAATTTAGAGTCGGTTGACGGTGCGTTTTGTCGGGCAGCGGGGTCGTGGATAGATTAGGTTATGGGGCGCGGCGGACCAGCTGGCAGATATCGTCGAGATGATGTGTGTGGAGACGATCATTTTATCTAAATGTGTCTGCGAACAGTAATACTGAGTTCGCGTGGGCAGATCGCGAGTGTGCTAGGCCAACGAACAAGGCCAAAATCGCAAAATTCAAAAATCACAAACATACCAAACCTGCAACTATCTCATTTTCTTCACCTACGATGTTTGCTTTTTAACAGTTTTTATTTTAATGTGACCTGAAAGCAAATTTGAACTGTTTCAAAAGTGTTTTTTTACACTGGGAATATTCTTGTATTTCAAATAACATTTCTGAATTTCACTTCACAACTGACTGTTGTTAAAAACGTTATTTTTTGGATCAAGAAAATTATTTTTTTAGAGAAAATTTCAGCACCACACAAATGACTTTTTTATTTTTTAATACAGTTTATATCCAAAAGATTGCTAAATAAGTGTGATTTTTAATAATTATTGACCTAACACTGTTTTTCTGTTTTTGTTTGTTTTTTAACAGTTTTTATTTTAATGTGACCTGAAAGCAAATTTAAAGTGTTTTAAAAGTGTTCTTTTTATTTTTTTAAATTAAACACTGGGAATATTCTGGTGTTTCAAATAACATTTCTGAATTTTACTTCACAACTGACTGACTTGAATTTTAAAAACGTTATTTTTTGGATCAAGAAATTTTCGGCACCACACAAATGACTTTTTTATTTTTTAATACAGTTAATATCCAAAAGATTGCTAATAAGTGTGATTTTTAATAATTTTTGACCTAATACTGTTTTTCCATTTTTTTCTAAACTTGCCATATTAATTTTATTTATGTTAATATTCCTAAAACTTTTACAACAAAAATTTTTTTACAGGGTGATTTTAATACTCTAATACTAATACTGCTAAAATTTTAAAAGGTGATAGTACAGATGTAAAGAAATCAAAAGAATGTATTAGTAGTAGTAGTATTAGTCAGTGACATTTGACGTGAAATTCTATAAAAAAAATGATGCAATATTGTAGTTTTTTTTAATATTAGATCATTTTCCTGTGGCTGTTTTTGTTACTTGTAACTCAATTTTCTTAAAACAATGTGATAGATTGAAGAACTAACCTCGAGATTATCTTTGTTTACTATTTGTGTTTGTGAAGTTTAAGGCGCCCAAAATTTACATTTATTCGTCGACTAAGTTCCTCAGTATCTCCGAAAATATAAACATTTGGATAAGCCAAGTCGAGTTATTTTTGCATCTTTTGTTCTCTACTATCATTCTTTAAAATTTGTGCACAAATTACTGTTTTTTGCAAAATTTAGTTGTTTTTTTAACTTCAGGGTGTTCAAATTTATAAAATTTAAAATTTTATTTAAAATTTATTTCAAGAAATAAGGACGATTTCACCCAAAATTTCTGTGTTTTTTAATAATTATTTGGGTTACGATAACTTTGCCACCAAATGCGGAATTATTTTTTTTAATTTTTCAGACTTAATCTTGCTTTTTCAAATACAGAAATTTCTAATTTAAAAGCATTACAAAAATGATATTTTAAATTATTTTTTTTTGTACTTACAGATTTAAGACGAAAAATTGCTAAAACATGCGTAATAATTAGTTTCAATTTTTAATGTATTTTTATGAATGGAATATGACGTAAAAAATTTCGTTTTCTTATCTTAGTTTATGTCATTAAAAATGAAATTAGCTGTGCAAAAAATGTATGATTTTAAGAGTGCTATTTACAAACATGGTATTTTTTAGTGTTTTGTTAAACTACAGGGTGTTTAAATTTTTTAAAATAAAATTTCGCAACTGTAAGGACAATTTTACTCAAAATTTTTGTGTTTCGAATAGTTGTTTTAAGTTGTAATAATAAACTCTGGCTTCAATCAAATGCGAAATTAATTTTTTGACACTTTTAAATTAAATGTGTAGTACTACAAAAATGATGTTCTAAATTTAAAATGTTTTTTTTTAAGTACAGGCCGTTTTCATTTTACTGTTTTAAGATAAAATATTGCTAAAACAAGAGTAATTAGTTTGACATTTTTTACTTTCTTCTATAGAAAGAATTTACTTTCATTTTTAAATGTATTTTTATTAATTGATACAAAAAATATGAATTTAATGGTGCTACCTAAAAAATCGCTGTTAATCATAAACGAGGTCCTGTCTTGACACCCTCGATATTTTATTAGCTTGTAATAGGTTTGACATCAAATGCGAAATTAAAGTTTTGACTTTATTAGCATTGTTGAATACACAAATTTCGAATTCAGAATTCAGTGGTACTACAAAAATGATATTTTAAAGGTTTTTTTCAGTTCAATATTTCTAAAATAAGAGTAATTAGTTCTATTTTTTGTCATTTTTTTTGTTTTCTAAATTTATTACATTAATTTTACGATGACAATAGAAAAGAAATTATACAAAAATTATTAATTTAATGGTTTTACTTACAAACGTGGTATTTTAAGTCTTTTTTCAAATACAGGGTATTAAAATTAAAAAAATAAAATATCTCAAATAATAAGGACATTTATTGTTTTATTAGGTTGTAGTAAGTTTGAAACCAAATGCGAAATTAATGTTTTGACTTTTTTTGACACTRAGATTTTTCGAACACACAAATCTCGAATTTGGTAGTATTATAAAAACGATATTTTAAATTTTAGATGTTTTTTTAGTACAGACTGTTATATTTCTAAAGTAATAGTAATTGGTTTCATTTTTATTAAATTTTTTTTTGTTTTTTAAACTTATTACTTTAATTTTACTTAATTTTACGGTAACAATAGTAAAGAAATTATACAAAAAAATATGAATTTAATGGTGCTTCTTACAAACATGGTATTTTAAGTCTTTTTTCAACTACAGCAATAATAAGGATAATAAGGACATTTGAGGAGCAGACTTTGAAAATGCAGTTTGTCCATGTTTTTATAAATTGAGATAAAGGTTTTTAAAGTTTTTTTGTAAAAGCCGTAAAATTAGTGTCCAATTGTGTTCAGTGTGTACAGGGTGCTGCATTTTGGATGTCCGAATAGGGAATCTCCGAAACTAAGATGTTTAGCCAAAAACGAGTGATACATTCTGGGGCTCATTTTTTGAGAAAATAATATTGGTTAAAACCGCATCCCGCTTTCGTCTTTTGTTTTCGACTTATAGACAAAAATTGACATTTTAGCGAAATCTAAGAAAATTCATATCTTCATTATTATAGAAGACACAGATTTGAAATAAAGACATTATACAGGCACTTTTTTACGTAGAATTTAATAATGTAGTTAACAATTTTTTTCAGTTGTTTGTTTAGCCGTAAAAAAATAAACTTGTATTTTTTTTAAATGGGAATCATAGATGGCTATGTCATTTTTAAAAAGCTTGTTTTTTTCTTATCTAAAAAATATATATTTGTAACAAATTATTAATATATATTTTTATTAATTATTATTAATATATATTTTTTAGATACGAAAAAAACAAGCTTTTTAAAAATGACATAGCCATCTATGATTCCCATTTAAAAAAATACAAGTTTATCTTATCACGGCTAAACTAATAACAGAAAAATATTGTTAACTACATTATTAAATTCCTCGTAAAAAATTGCCTGTATAATTATAATGTCTTTATTTCAACTTTTGTCTGTAAGTCGAAAACAAAAGACGCTAGCGGGATGCGGTTTTAACCAATATTATTTTCTCAAAAAATGAGCCCCAGAATGTATCAGTTGTTTTTGGCTAAACATCTTAGTTTCGGAGATTTCCTATTCGGACATCCAAAATGCAGCACCCTGTACATATTTTTTTACATTTACTGTCACTGATATAAAAAATTAAAATTATTTATTAAAAGAAAGACAGTTTTTGTTCTCTCGTGCAAAAATGCAAATTTGGACAAATTGCTTTTTGAAAGTGTGCTCCTCATTTATTGTTTTATTAGATTTGTAATAAGTTTGTCACCAAATGCGAAACTAATGTTTTGACTTTTTTTGACACAGCTTTTTCGAATACACAAATTTCGAATTCGGTAGTACTACAAAAATGGTATTTTAAATTTTTTTCAGTACAGTATTTCTAAAACGAGAGTAATTAGTTGTATTTTTTAACACTTGTTAACATTAATTGTGCTTACGATGACACTAAAAATGAAGTTTTGCCAAAAGCTCTAAATTTCTTGGTGCTACTTAATGGTGTTTTAAGGTAAAATGTTTGTTGTTGCAGTCGTATGTTTGTGATAGTTGTAAAATTTTGTGATTGAGATGTAGTAGTGGTGGCCTATGCGGTCGGCAGGCACAGTAGACAGACAGAAAGATGACGAGGGTCGGTCTTAAAGGGCCGTGAGAGAGACCGTTTCGGTCCGTTTGTCTGCTGGTGGCAACACGCGCGGACCAGACCAGAGCGAGCTTGGTTTTGCTGTTGCAGGGGCGTCGCCCAAGAAGGTGTTCACGTGCCAGCTGTGCGGTAAGGTGCTGTGCTCAAAGGCGTCCCTGAAGCGGCACATCGCCGACAAGCACGCCGAGCGTCAGGAAGAGTACCGCTGCGTGATCTGCGAACGCGTTTACTGCTCCCGGAACTCTCTGATGACGCACATCTATACTTACCACAAGTCGCGGCCGGGGGACATCGACATAAAGTTCTTTTAGCCACCGCACGCCGCCGCGCCGCTGTGCCGCCGTCCGGCCGCCGCCGCTGCCACCACCACCTTTTCAGGTACCTACCGCCGCCCCATGCACCCGCTTGCCGCTGTCTGTGTAGTTACTGAATTGTTGCCGCTTGCCGCCTGCATGCCGCCAAGGCCGCCCCCGGCCCGGCACCGTCTCGTCTGTACCCCGGCTGTTGCAGGCACGGTGCGGATGCCGCCGCCGACCTCGGGAGGCATCAACGAGCCCCAGGAGTGCCCCTACTGCCGGCGCACCTTCTCCTGCTACTACTCGCTCAAGCGCCATTTCCAGGATAAGCACGAGCAGTCCGACACGCTCTACGTCTGCGAGTTCTGTCACAGGAGATACAGAACCAAAAACTCGCTCACGACGCACAAGAGTCTGCAGCATAGGGGCTCCAGCGGCATGCTCAAACGTCTGCTCAAAACTACGGCCATCAAGAGCGTGCTCGGAACGCAGCCGCCACCGCCGCGTCTCCAGTGAGCCGCCCCCGAACGACTACCGCTGGCCTAACTCGAACCACAAGTACAAATCACCCAGAAGTATGTATCTTTACAGCCGTCAGAGCCACTTATAGTTTTTATACAAAAAATATCATTATTATTATAATAATACCTCCTCAATCTCCCTCCCCCATCCACCTCCCCCACGACATATCTACGCCATATCAGCGGCGACACAGCCAAAATGCGTGCGTCAATTGTCTCTTGTCACATACATGGTTCTGTGTGTACGTCTGTGTGTGTATCGTGATCTGCCCAAAACATGCGAGACATTCCCAGTGTTACTGTGATTCAGTTACATTCTCTTTCCSAAAACATAATCACATCAATGGCAACACCACCAAACACAAAAATTCACCATTTTCGCAAAACAAATTCAAAAATCCCGCCACCAAAATCACCAGCTATCGWCACGTGTTACATTTCTAGCCAATAATTCTKGCAAATATTCTCGTTGACCAATAGTCACGTGATCTAATTTTCTAGCCAATAAGGTTTGTCGAGACTTGGACGAAAATCTCAGGTCAATAAAAAGGAAGGGGTTTTAATGTAACACCACAAAAATAGTGTTGTAGATTTTTTACTACAAAAATTCATTACTTTTCCAAATTTTTTTAGGAAAAAATTGCAAAAATCCTAGAGATTTCAAAGCAGTAGCTCAAATTG